ACAATCATGATGAATATTCCGAAACTGTGAGCTATATATAAATCGCGTAGTAACGTCTGTATAAACCCTGAAAGAAGCATAATCAAATTTTCCCAATGCAATCTGAAAAGAAGGCGATGATTCATGAACCCGCGCCTAATCAGCCCATTCTGTTAATGGAAAGAAATAAATGACACATTTAGACGGCAAAACCGAAAAAATTAGACAAATACCACTACCCTTAGTGTACATGTGTGTCATGTCAGTTTGAAGAGAAGATGACATTTGGACTTTACAATTATTCTCGCTACCTTAAAGCGCACAGTTTCATTTAGCGCCATGTTTTTCGGCTTGATACCACTGTCACTTAAAAAACAGAAAATGTGGCCTATGGCACAAGGAACATCGAATTTCTTTGTATCACAGAGGAAAATCAATTTTTTTCGTTACCCACTATCACTGGATAAGCATGGAATGTCGAAAACAAGGTAACGTGAAAGGTAACGTTGATTTCGTGCCAGTGAATAAGAGTAGTTGTCCTCTAACCAAATGTCGCATACTCAAAGGCAACAGCGACAACGAGTCTTTAAAAATAACAAAACTTAACGTTACGTGTCTTCTGAAAAATCGCCCTTGAACAAATTTTGTCGACTTTTTTAGGCCTACACCCATTCATTTCCAAGCCCTAGTTTTGAAAAGCGAATTTATTAGCGCAAACTTGCTTATACTTTTATCGTTACAAGATGTTGTTGAAAGTTACGACTTACGCCGATATCCGCTTACCTTCCAAGCGCAGCTCGTTTTAGCATCTTGCATCTGTACAGCGAATCACCATACTTGATCAGGCGAACGTACTCTTTAGCAACACTAAATCAGGCACTGATCATCGCAGTCTATACAAGTAAATCATCTATCACTTGTCAACCAGATGGCGAGCAATGCTAATCTGGCCGAGCGCCAGTTTATAATGATCTCGATCGTAAAGTACGTTCATCAAGTCACCGTAGAATGGATGTATATCCTATAAAATACTTTCAATATCGATAAATAATCAGCATTAAATATAACTATATCAAGTCGGCTACATCAGAAGACTGCATCATCAACTTATGGGGATCATTTACTGGCAAAAATAAATTTTAAAGATCAAGTTGCTTGCATGCGCAAATTAATTAGTTCATCTCCCGCTAATTCGATTTCCGGGAAAAGAAGCTTCATTATGTTCCTCAAACGGTCATCGGTTTTCTATCAATCATGTAGGTTTAGTTGGTTAAATTCCAAGATTTTAAACGAAACCAGATTCTAAACGGATAGTGAACGGTGAAGTACTCACGATTTACGTACTCACATCCAGCAACAGAAACTCGTCCAGTAATATCCCGTCTAGCGGTCAATGTGATGCTCTTAAAATGATTTGAAATTAATATTTATTACGGCAGTAAGATACCATCCACACATACCCATCGTGGATTCAGGAGACACTTAAGATGATTTAAATTTAAGAGCAAGCAATTACGCTTAATATTTAAACATTTTCAATTGTCCCATGTATGCTGTTAGAACCAAAAAAACCATCGTTAGTGCTACGAACGTATGTTGTTCCAGTCAACACTACCGTGAAATTGTGCATCTACGCGCCACAGGTGTTCAAATATCAAGCAACCTTTAAATTGTGATTCCCTAGACATCTAGAAGTAAGGAACGATGAAATTTCACCGTATAACCTCGTACGATGCCTCGTACTAATCATTCTTTACAGCGTTATTAGTACAAACGTACTCTAGCTTAAGAATGTAAGGTTAGTACGGTTTTTTTAAAGACACAAATTGCACATTACAGGTGATTACAGTTTGTACACTCACATCCAACTTTGGAAACTCGTCCAGGATCATGGTCGTCTTGTCATGTATAGTCTGCTGAAGGAACTTCACCTTCCTGATGTAGAACTGCCGGATACGCGAAATGGCGAAATGTCGTCGGATGACTGTTGGTGTTTTGCGCTGCGTCTTCGACAGCACTATCTCGACGAATTGCTAAATAAAAAATGGCGCAATCAAAACAGATAAAGACGATGAACACTACAAGCAAACTCACCTTCGATGTCGGCACCACGGTTATCGACTTGAAATTGTACACCACCATTTTGACCTACCGAAAAAGCGAATAAGGACAGAAACATATGAAAAGGTCATTCGTTTACTCGTTCATGTTCAACACGGTCACCAACAAATATTATGGATCAACTGTCACGAAAATTACGGGGAACACATACTGTTTTAAGCTAGGACTGTTTCATGATAAGCATTCACTACTAATTCATTGTTTTCCTTCAAAAATGCGACAACCGTAACGTCTTGTCACAATCCGTTAGGAAAAGTGGGAAAAAGGAACAGATGAAAGTGGGCAGTCACTCTGTTGGCGCGACAGAGGGTTCATCTGCCTGTTACTGACCAAAAGCACAATGACCATGTCAGGTAGTTAATCCCACTACAGCTGGTGATGAGGCATGTTCATTTGTAAAAGAACGGTTCAGATATTAGTTCTTATCATTTTAAATATTCCTATAGTACTTATCTTGGAGGCAAGAAGCAAGATAAGATCATAAATACTTGATAACCTCCATAAGCTGGGCAACGAGATAGTAGTTGCTCAATGAACAAGGTAAGATTGGTTCCAATGAACGAAGTACGGTAGAGTTCTCCCTTCAACCAGTAGTTGCAACCGCCTGTCATTAAAGTCGAATCAGTCGGCTTCTACGGATCTAGTACAGTACTCATTACCTTAGCTGTGTGTACTGTCAATACTAGACTGACAAGAAAGCGCTTACGACCGTAGCGTCTAATGGAAAAAGAAGTTATCTCTAGCTTTCAAAAGACGCAGATCATCATCTATGCTCGGATCAGATTCAAGAGACACTAGTTCTTAGCGAAGCTCCGTGGCTACTCCACTATGCCTTTCCTGCTTAATGACTGAAAGGGTGTGCTCGCTTAGAATGTCTGGTTACAGCCTTCCTAAGTAGTATCAGTGCTGCTTCTCAAGTGTTAACGGACATTCCGCAGAAACAAAATAACGCACTTTAACGTAAGACAAGTGATGACACGATAAACGTGTCAGAAATGAAATGAGGGAGTTAACATGAATATAAAAAGCCCGATATAGAACGATAGTCGGTATCCCGGTTGCAGCAATGTGCATAGCCGTTATTCTGTTGCAAAAAAACCTGTCTGAT